CTTTCTCTTACAACGTGAGTAGGGTGGCATACCGTAGTTCCTTAAGGATGCCCCGGCACAAGGCGTCGAAGTTTGAGATGGCAGACCAGACGTGAACAATGAGTCACCTGCGCGAGGAAGTCCTCGTGAAGCCGGTCCTCGCCGACCAGTTGCCCCTCGGACAGGTCCTCGCGTGTCGACTGCATGTGGGCCTTAGTGTAGCGCCACATGACGCGGTGAAGCAAGGTATTAATTGCCTGCAACATTGGAGCAGAACCGGGCGAAGAGGTTCCAATAAATCACACGTAAGTATCTGATCGTAGTGGTTAATGGGAACGAACGTTGTGCAATCGATAAGGTGAGTTGTAGACAAGAATTCGCGTAGGTTAGTCTTTTAAAACATTGTCACATGGCCTTTCCTTACGATGTGAGAGTGGCACGAAAAATGTGGGCGGAAGCATGTCGTGACTAGGCCCGCACGATTCTACGAAGTGGTATATCTACGTTGGAGTTCTACGTACAAGTTATGATTGTCAGGCATGTGTACCTCGGCAGCGGGGTCGATGTCCGCGACCTGCTCGCGGACCCCACGCAAGAGGTCGGCGGCGGTCCGCGGGTTGTTCGTGGCCGCCTCTTCTTCGATCATAGGGATCAAAAAGTCCACGAGGGCGCCGCGCACATCACCGTGCAGCTCTGAGCGGGCCGCAACGACGGCCTTGATGATGACCGCTGTGGTCACGGAGAGAGGGCGGCAGAAAGCAGCACTGTGAGGATATTCCTCGCCCACAACACTCGGACCCCGGGCTAGAATAGCACCGGGCGAGCGGTTACTTGAACGCCAGCGTGGCTCCGGCACACGTATGGAGCTGCCGCGCGGAGGTTTTTGCGGCAGTTGGTGTATCACTTCTGATCGGTACATCGCCACTACGTGAAACTCAGTACTCCTCTAACACCCTATCGACGAACCGGGATAGCGACGGGTAGGTGGTGACGTAAACCCTAGTGCNGAAACTCAGTACTCCTCCAACACCCTATCGACGAACCGGGGGAGCGACGGGTAGGTGGTGACATAAACCCTAGTGCAGAAGAACACCTTGCAACAGCAATAGAACAGAGTCGGCATCCCCGTCCATGAGTCCTGCCGTCAAAGTACGGAGAGGGTGGCGGCACGTAGGGATAGGGTGTGCACGGACGTTGTTACCAAGATTATTCGAACAGAATTAACATGTCTCGGACATTACTGTACTGTCTCTGTGTACGAGTTTTTCACGTGTTGCACCTCAAATAGAAATGTGTTTGTTTAACAACCGACCGACGACCAATGTAGGGTGCTCCAAAAAAAGGTGACATATCCGACGACTTGCAATGCGGAGTTCATCGAGAACGGATAGAGAGGGCGGTTGCGGCGGCAACGAGCTCAAATCGCGCCATTTTTGTTGTCGAGAGGCCCTCATCGTACACCATTCATCATTGTGCTTCCGTAAACCGCGGCGGGTACAACCGGGGAACGTCCAGACTAAACAAGTATGAGTCGGATACACGGAACAATCATCACGCATCTGCTCTGTTTTTTTGTGTCCCGTACGTATCTGTCGCGGGGGTCTTATTCCGGCTCTTCTCGTCAAACGGTGTGTTGGGAGTAGCTACAATGTCTGGTCCACATGCACATGTTCCACACACCCATAACCGGCATAACAAATACTAAAAGACAACATTGGGGCCAACACAAACGTTCGTGCGTTGCAACCGAAATCATAGTTCATAATCTTTGTTTGGGGAACGCATTACTGTTTGTCTTTGTCTTCAGAGTATTGCTATAGGGAGGAAGAAGATCTCGCGTCGCGGTCAGAACGGAGTCTGAGGAATTTTGACTACCCAATGAAGTACACATTGGGCAACGTTCGCGCGCCTTTACACATCATCGAATTTCAACCGGTGGATGTGGACTACACAACAAACGAGGTGCTCAAGACCTTACATCGGTGATCACGACTTTCGGGCACGACGATTCTCAGAATATCATGTGCGCCAACACGACGGCGCACTGCTCAAACCTGCAATTGCTGCGGCAGGAAATAAACTTGCTGGAGCTATGCATCGGATACATGTTTCGATCCTACTTTTATCTCTGTAGTAGTATAGCATATGCATTCTAGACTCATGAAGAGTTGAACAAGTTTTTTTTTTAGCATGCTGCCCGCAAGGGAAGAAACACAACTCGCGTGGTCAAGTAAGCAAGCGCAGGCGAACTCTCAACCTACCATCGGTGGGTTTTTAGACCGCAGAACCTTCCTCCGCTTCGAGACCGACTTGCGTCGGCCCGCGCCCTTAGTCTTGACCACCGGCTCCTTGCTGGGTGTACGGGATGCCGCAGCCTTGGCCGTCCTCCCTCTGGGTTGATGGTTGTTGACATTGACAGCGCTGAGAGGTGATGCAGAGGTCGTTCGGGGAACAGCGCGGTGAGACATCGCAGTAGGAGTATAAGTTGGCGCAGGAAGGAGCGAGACGGAAGGGGAGGGCGAAGAAGGTTCTAGCAAGTGTGGGCTGCTGTGTGTGTTTTTATTATTAGCATCGACCGCGCTAACCGGCTGACCAATTAAAAGACGTCAGTGCCAGCGGGTAAAAATCAAGGTCCCTGGAAGGGGGCCAAAATTAAAAAAATGCGCAATGCGCTTGATGCGAATGCTAATACGACTCTCTCCACATGTTCTTTCACGTGGACACACATCTCAGCTACACAAATGCCCTCGCTCGAACCTAGGAANTATTAGCATCGACCGCGCTAACCGGCTGACCAATTAAAAGACGTCAGTGCCAGCGGGTAAAAATCAAGGTCCCTGGAAGGGGGCCAAAATTAAAAAAATGCGCAATGCGCTTGATGCGAATGCTAATACGACTCTCTCCACATGTTCTTTCACG